CAGGGCTGTTATGTGACGGCAGCTGGGGAGGGCTCTGAAATGACTTCAGATGCTGCTCTCAATAGACTCTTCCACAAACAGTGTTGCCCACACCTTTGGTCCCCTAGCTTAAAGAGATTCTTTCATTGTTTACATGCCCAGGCTGCAAATTTTCCAGAGCTTTCAGTTCTATTCCCTTTTCATTTTTGAATTTTTTCTCTCCCTCCTCCCCTTCCCACTGCCCATCTTACTGTATGTAGTTTAAAAGCATCTAAGTAGCTCCTTTACCACTTTGCTTAGCAATGTCTTCCATGAAGACATTCTAGTTTATGCTCTTAAATTCTGTCTTTGGGGGACTGGCGTGACAGCTTAGTAGCTAAATCCTCATCTTGCAACTGCCAGGATCCCATATGGGTGTCAGTTTGTGCCCCAGTTTCTCCATTTCCCTTCCAGCTCTCTGGTTGTGGCCTGGGAAGGTAACAGAAGATGGCGCCTCCATATGGAGAGCTTAGCTTCCATGTAGCCATGATGTCATCTCCAACTTCCTGATCCTGGATGAGACAAAAGTATATCATGGGAAAAGTGGGTGTGCTAGATTGACAGGTAAGAAGGTGGAGTTAAAATTCAAGGCCAGTAGAAATTCCACCTCACCTTTCCCTACGTAATATTCCTGTCTAGTTCTCCTATAGCAAATGCTAAGAGGTAAGTCCATGTTCAGGAATACTCAAAACATATATACCTGGCTGTAGTGTATATTATTGGGTTTATAGTCTGGGGCCAACAACAACAACAAAAAAAGCTGTAAGATGTGATGGAGTAGGAGGGGTAACACACAGCCTGTCTCTCCTACATGCATTGAAATTCAAATTAGAACACAGTCAACAATGCATTGGCAAGAGTCGACATTAGTTCCGTGAAAACTCATTGACACTGACATCGTATCGACCAGCTTTCCAGCTGACTCTTTAGGAACCCTGGGACCCCGTGATTCTTCTGACCTTCAGTAGCTCTTAATTAGTAAACCCAACACAGCCCAATCTCATGTAAGAGGTTTGGGCTGCTGCACCTCCTCTCCTTAGTCAGTTCTTGATTAACAAAAGGATCAGCCGCTCAACCTTCAGGAAACATCTTAGTGTGTGTGAAAAATATCTTAGAAGAAATAGCACCTCCACTTGTAATTGCTGTTTCTTTTAAAGCTAAACAAGCAGAGCCCAAGTGTTGGGGCAAAATACAGTGTTACTAAGGGAATTTCTTCAAAGGTGCTGCCTCTCAGAGAGGCCAGGTGCTGTCCAAGTTTTTATATCTGACACAAACCTCCCATGTACCCCTCACATCTGATGCATTTCCTGATATTTCCAGAAGCATGGAGCTCAACTGAAGCATTTTTGAGAAACAGATAAAGCAAAAGCAAACACATTTAGGACATGAGGCTATTTCTATTATTTATTTAACAGAGTTGGGAAATGACACTTGGCTTCTCAATGTACACTTACCATGCTTGACAACTCTTTCAAAAGTAGGGTTAGAGTCCAAGAGAATTCTTTTATGAACTAATAGTCACAGTTTGGAGCTATCCATTTCATCAAAAGTAAGACAACGGAGGGGGAACAGTAGTTATCACTGAGCAGTTTGCTGCCTTGATAAAGGCAAATATTTTTCCAACAGGTTAAGATGAAATCTTGCTCCCTCTAGAATATTTTTTTAATAAGCCCGGAACCTGCAGACTTATCAGGATTTCTAAGTACTTCCTGTCAGTGAAGCTTTAACGGGCTGCCGAGGCACGGAAAGGTCTACGGCTTTTGGCTCAATATGGAGAGCAGTTTTTAGTCAGAGTAGGCTGGAAATATAAACAACTAGAACACATCAAGTTAGGAACATCCCCTGTGTCATTATTAACAGACTACTTTTTCATCCCAAATGAAAGTCTTTTTCCCTGCTAAGACTCCTGAAAACAACGAGAGTAAACGACAGCTGATGATCTGCAGCAACAGGTGAGAGCGAACTCAGGCTTAGGACTCTCCTTCGGCGCCAACAGGGTCTGCGGTCCCTGTTCCTGCCCTGCCAGCTCCACCTGAGGCTCCCGCCGAGCTGCATGCTGCTTGCTGGCTCCTTCTCACCTGCCTACCTGGGTTTTTTTCTAACCCTGTACAGAGATAAATGACGTTCTCCGTGTTATCCGTTATTCACAATCACACGGTCACCCCTTGCTTGGGGGATGAGCCACCTGCTCAGGGATGCTGCTAAGGAGGCAATCGCTCTATTCCACAAGCACTGACAGAGAGCTTGGGGTGGCTGCATTAACAGTACACTGGACTCTGTGGAATACTACCACCTCAAATGTTTTAAACTTCAGTTGGTGGAAAAATCATGATTTCCTTCTTAAAAGGATTATTTTGATTAAAAATTGCTTTTACTTGACATCTTCACATGTCTGCGTCCCTAGCAGACACAGGCTAATGCTCCTTGACAAACAGCCCAACACGCTTGACAGATGAGCATAAGAACTCGATACTAATGCGTGCGGGGCCTTGGAATGTAATCGTCTAGCTCTTTGGGGAGATATTTAGATGGAAGCAATGCTTAAGCCTCATAAAAAACTTAACGCCAGGAAATGGAAATGCCCATTTGTGCTGAGTTGTATTTTCAGGAAAGGGGGCAACACAGTAGACTCAAACACAGAGGGTTTGAGTCTGCAATGCCAACCTTCAGTGGCAACCTTGCCAAGGTCTTGTGGCCATCCTCACCCCCAAAGGACAGGCTCTTCCCTTTCAGAGTCAAGAGCCCCAAGCGCGGTGCTGGGAGGCAGAAGCAGGTGTTGGGAAATTTAATTAGCCTGTGTGAAACAAAAGGGCTCCTGGCTTGAAGCTACTGCCGAAGTGTGAAGAATAACGATTGTTGCAAACTCCCATTTCCCAAGGTTGAAGCAGCCTGGGGAAAGACAGGTGCTTCATTCTCTGATGTTTTCCTCTGAAATATTTTTCCAAGTCTCTCTTTCTTTTTGGTCAGGCTTTCACAGCTTTTGTTAACAAAAATTTTACCTTTACCAAAAGCAGTATTTTTCTTGGTATAGTCATCTGCCCACAGCAAACTTGTTGCTTGACCATGAGGCAAACTAGTTCATGGGCCCACAGGGTAGGTGCTACCTTTTGGCTCGAATGCTACATCTGATGACAGACATTTTAAAATTCACTAAGTGATTTTTAAGGCTTCCATGAGATCCCATCTAGTTCAACAAGCACGTACTGAGTGATGACTGACAGAGCTCGAAGCTCCTGCCCTCCCTGGGCTCACAGTCTGGGCCGTGTGGACTCTTAGAGAATCCACTCTGCACACAACTCTACAAGAAAAGAAACTATGTTGTTTTAACTTCATATCTGTTGTTGACTTTGTTTCATGGCTTCTCTTTTAAGGGAATGTATAGTGATGGCGTAGTAGAGACTGCCATAACCAGATGTGGACATACAATGCAATATGCATCCCTACTTCCAAATAGAAGATGGACTCCCAATGAAATTGTTGGACAGATCTAGGCAATGGGGTGCTGGACTGTCTGACATTGTGTGTAGCAGCAATGTCAGGACACACTTCAATAACAGGCTGATGGAATCAAGACTCCTTATGAAGGACTATACTATCGTAATAATATGGGGAACATTAGGTGGGGTGGGTGGGAATTTGAGGGGGAAATCCCAGATCCTATGTAACTGTACCATAAAATTCAAAATAAAAAAAAAATGTATTTTTTTTTTAAGAAATCGAACATGGGGCAAACTCTAGCAAATTCTCTAATGAATCCTCAGCTGAGAGATCTAGAGGGAGCTTTTCATAGGAAGAATCCACAGAATCTTCCCAATGGAAAAGAAAGAAAAAGGACAGAGGCAGAAGAGCACTTTGAATCAAGGTGTGAGTGGAATGAACCAAAATGTCCCTCAGGTAGAGGCCACCATGGGAAAGATCAGGATTGTGGAAAGGTAGGGGAGCCAATTCTTAAGATTCACGACCAGGTGCTTACTCAGAGGGTCAAAGGGTGCAGCTGTGTGAGGGAACACCCAGGCAGCTGTGGAGCAGAGCAAAAGATGGGATGTGGGCTGAATCTCAGCAAGACGACAGGGGAAAAGGCATGAGAGAGACAGGCATCAAAGCACCATGTCCAGGGGAGAGAGAGGGCCATGCCTGCAGCCTGGGATGCCTGGGAGCAAGCCCAGGGCCAGTGAGGAGGCTCCAAGATACTGCAGAGCCCCCATAAGCACCCTGGAGCTCAGACGACGCTGTGTGGAAGCCTGAGGAGGAAGCAGCACTGGGAAAGTGGAGCAAAGGACGAGTGTTGGGAAATGACATGCATGGGGGCCGCGTTGAATGCAATATGAAGAGATGGATGAGAAAATTCTATTTTAGACTAAATGCTAATGACTTTAAACACCACCACCACTCAGGATCTGAAGGTGGTGACTGAGGGGCAGAGTCAGAGGCCTGCATAACCCTGATACACACTGGGAGAAAATTTGGCCAAAGGAAGTGTTTGGAAATGGATTGGTTTCAATTTGCTTTCAAATCGCCACCTTTCTATGGCAAGGTCCATGATCAACAGACCTTCACCATTCTTGTGTGACTGCTCCACGTAGCAATTCCCTAGCGGCAGGAAACAGTAGGGGCAAAAGCGGATACTTTGCCTTCCTCTGTCGCTTGTGGCCTCTGCAGTCTAGACGGACTGGTCCTCTGCCAGGAGGGACACAGAAGGCAGCTGCCCACCCCGGGGCGTCCTTCTACTGTTCTCTTCCTTCCTTGTAGCAGGCACACACACACACCATTGCAACCAAACAGGCCATCTGATTCTAGATGCATAAATGGACAGCCATTCTTCCACATCTGGCGGTTATGTAGAACCATGCATTCAAGGGGTCACAGTAAATTCAACTGGGAACTCCCAAGTGAGAGGAAGAGCCCACGTGTGGGCCCCACACCTGGAAGAATTAGTAAGAGGTGTTTGCCTCTCAGACAAATCACAAAGACGTCTGACATACCTCGAACTCCAGGTAGTGGTCTTTTAGTTTGTACTCATCTACCTCCTTGGCTTTGACCTTCTTGTCAGGGGGGTAGGAGCGGTGCTCGGCCAGCTCGGTGGTAATCTGCTTCAGCTTGCTTTCATGGGATTTCAGCTGCTCCTCCTGCAGGAAATTATTAGTCATTTAGTGCCCCCAAATACAGCAATAAATGCTAAGTGGTTTCAAAAATATATTTTTTTTAAGAAATACTAATATAAAGAGAACAGATTTTGTGCATTCCATAGGTACGGTTCTAAGCAGATAACCACACTTGAAGATCTCAATGAATGCCGTGTGCCTCTGCTGCCATATCACCCCACATTTTTCACACCAGCTCTTGCATATTCCTTTTGAGGACGGCAAACAAGGCTGACCTCCCTAACCAGCGGAGCTGTGACTGAGTTGGGACCAGGAGTCGTAAGAGATGACCTTGACAGGCAAGCGACCAGCGCAACAGCTGAGCTCGGAGCCAGGGAGCCAGGCTACCTGGCCTCTTTCTTTCATTCTCATTCAGCAAACTGCCAGTTGCTCTAGCTTGTGAACGAAATGTCCCCACACGCATATCTTCCACTTTTAAATTGTGTATTTTCTTCTCTTTTATTAACAAGAGAGGCAGGGAAACAGATACCACATGAATAAGCTTACATTTTTTGATGTCTGCTTCACACATAAATACACCGTGAGAATGAATTTGGTTCAGCCCACAACACCCGTAACAGCTAGAGCCTGGCTGAAGGGGAGAGCTGGAAACCCCATCCAGGTCTCCCACGGGTGGCAGGGACCCAACCCTGAGCCCTCACTGCTGTCTCCCAGGTCTGTAGGGGCAGAACTGAAGTGAGGAGCCACAGGTGAGCACTCCAACCCCAGCAGCCCAACAATACTACCAAAAATAATTCCTTCAAAGCTATTTGAGGGCCCGGCGCGGTGGCGCAAGTGGTTAAGGTCCTCGCCTTGCACGCCCGGGATCCCATATGACCGCCGGTTCTATCCCAGCAGCTCCGCTTCCCTTCCAGCTCCCTGCCTGTGGCCTGGGAAAGCAGTCGAGGACGGCCCAAAGCTTTGGGACCCTGCACCCACGTGGGAGACCCGGAAGAGGCTCCTGGCTTCGGATCGGCATAGCATCGACCGTTGCACTCACTTAGGGAGTGAACCATTGGACGGAAGATCTTCCTCTCTGTCTCTCCTCTCTGTATATCCACCTTTCTAATAAAAAAAATAATAAAAATAAATCTTAAAAAAAAAAAGCTATTTGAACATCTTCTAAAAATGCTTCTGTGTCTGCTGTTGCCCTCCATGGTGGTAAAGGGTTTTCACTTCCTTTAACCCTTAATGACCCCGAAACATGTTTCAGCTAAAATGTACCTGCTGAGTAATGTTTACCTCAACTATCATGGACACAAAGCACCAAATGTGTCAGGACTGACCATTATGTACCATGTTTCTATTTTAGCGGCACGGTATCTATCATGTCAGGTAGCTAAAAAGATATTTCACCAAATTCCAGCAATACCAACAAAATATCCTGAGGGGTGTGGTGGGGTTGAGGGTCTTTGGATCACACGTGCCAGACAGAAAGGAAACCTTCTAGTATTCAGTAGCATAATGGAGTGGCCACGGCTCAGCAACCTGTTAGAGATTTTGCAAAGAACTAGAGAGGGGTCTTGAATGTTCTAAACAGAGTAGTACAAATGATGAAGAAATCTCAACTCCTGATTCGATAATCACACATTCAACATGTTACTAAATCGTCACTGTGGACTCTATAAATATCTGCAGTTAAACTAATAAAAATAATTTAAAATGATGCTTGACAGATTCTTGATACAAAGACACTGTAATTCTCTTGCAGTCCTAACACTATGATGGCTAACTATTCCTTTTCTTTTCCATTCAAATCATCCAAGTTCTTAAACATTATTAGCAAAAAGTAAATGGAAGAAGACAGCTAAAAAGAATGGATAAGACTTGGGGATTTTTTTTTGTATTTTGTATATATTATTTTGGAGCACCACCATAATTTCAGAAATATAAAAACTATGTTACAGAATAATGGAAATAGTTTAAAAGACTATCCGAATGATCAAGGCATTAATGATAACGATTATATAGCATCATTATAATTTTTTAAAATAAAAGATCAAGAAATTATTAGTCATATATAGCAGCAGTCTTTGGGAACTTTAATAATGACATGCATTTTAAGCATCAAGCAAGGAAAAATCCCGTGCTTAAAACCATCAGTGTACAACAATAAAAACTAAACAACAGAGGACCCGAGTGGAAAAATGAACAAAGAGATGGCAGCAACATATAGACTGAAGGAAAGAAGGTAGTCTTTAATGATCAACTTTAGCAAAACAAAACACGCAGAGGTCCCAGACAAGCACAAGAAAAAAAAAAAAAAAAAGCAAGCAAAGCCACCCAAAATCCTATTTTGATATTTAAAAATGGGATTTACACCCTCAAACCTACAATGTGTACACCAATAATGCTGAAAGTCAGCGAAAATGTGTTTGAGGTAGCTTTCTTTTTGTCTTACTTTCTCCCAAGGAGACTGCAAATCTCACTATGGACTGCACAGGTCCCCCCTCACCTTCACACTCATTCTGAAGCCCTAAACTGAGCACAGGTGCACCTGCAGGTGGCGCCTCTGAGGAAGTCATCACTGCCGAGGCTGCGGCTCTCAGCCTGTAGGACTGGTGTCCTGAGAGAACACGATTGCTGTGTGCTGCTAACAAGGAAAGCCTTGGAGAGGACCCAACGCACGGGTGGCTGTGACAACCCCGTGTTCAACAACATTCAATGCTGCCATGCTCGGATCCTGGACAGCCAGTCTCTAAAACTGTGAGAAAACGCCTGATGTTTTAGCCACATATCCTGTGGCATTTCGTTATGACAGCCTGACCTGAGACTACATCAATAGTTCTGAACCTCTTTTAAAATTATTTTCCTTTGTGTGTTTACATAAGCTACTTCATAGAACGTTTTGATGAAAGATGTTTGCTGACTGGAATACTTTGAAATATGAAAGAATGATTTTTCTTTTTTTTAAAGCAACATGGTTCAGATACTGAAGAAATCATGTTGAATGAAACATAAAAATATTCTTGCACTTAGTATTTGGTTTGGAAAATGCAATAAATGTAAGTTTCAACTCCCTGCATATAACTTGTTCATCTCATGTTTTTCATATGCTATGCAACAGTGCATGATCGACAAAACACACATGCATGTTCTACAGTTTGTATATCCCATATAGAAACTCCTGAAAGCTTTTTCTGTTGTCTGTCTTACAGATCTGACGATCACAATATTAGGGAGTGATTTAGGTTGTTCTCTTATGAAAATGGACATGAAAAAAGACAAAGTTGGAAGCTCACATACTTTCCCTTTTATCTTTGCTTATATTTCTTTCGGGATGTATACATATATGAGGTGACTTTAAAAATATTTTGATGCAAAAAAAAATATTTGGGAACCTCAGCATGAAAGTGTTCTACAAACAGCTGGTGACGGGCTGGCACTGTAGCTGCATGGGCAGCCCAGAGCCAGGGCATCAGTTGGAGTCCTAGGTGCTATGCTTCCATCAAGCTCTCTGCTCAGGTGCTTGGAAAAGCAGTGCATGATGGTCCAAACACCTGGATCCCTGCCCCCCGCGTGGGAGATCTCATGGAGTTCCAGGCTGTTGGCCTTGGTTGGCCCTGCCTAGGTCATTGTGGGCATTTGGGGTGAAGCAGCAGACAGAAGGTGTGTTTTTCTCCTCCTCCTTCCTGCCACGTGATCCCCTCCACCACCTTCAATTAACTAAATCAACCAACTAATCATTTTTTTAAGTTAATAGGAAATACATATCATGAGGCAGGAAAGGTTTGGTTTTCAAAAATAGTTTGACCCAAATGAATTTAATTTTTCCAGTTATTTTGAAGTATCTTCATATAAACTTTGTCTCATTTAGTGCTTACCACCTCTTTGAGGGTCAAACCAAACCAAACCAAACCAAACATCACTTTTCCCATTCTTTCAAATCCTCCAGCATCCAGAACAATGTTAACAGAGAAGATGGTGTGTAGCAGTTTTGGTTGATAGGTTTTTGCCTGCTTAACATTAACAGCTTGTATAAGCTCACAGCAAAAGCCATCAATCCTGTCCTTATGATACACACAACACCTGAATGGCACCATGATGTGCAAGCCCATCAGTAAACAGCTGAAGACCAGACCAGCACTAGAGCCTTGTCAAAGCCAGTGGGCTGGAATTTAGAACAAACAGTATGTGTCTCTGAGTTATTTTGGAAAGGGCTACTCCAGAAAGCAGCACCAGAGAGATTCCATCTTACCGATTCATAGCTATGACTTTTGAATACAGTGTTTACTCAGCTTAGGTGTAGTAACTTGCACATGGTTTCATGTTTTATCATGGACTGCACAGCCATGTGCTAAACATGGATCTTTAAGAAATACATATAAAATACATCTTCTGTGGAGAGGTATGGCCACCAGGTAAGGCTTGGGGCTGCATCTCACAGCTATTGAAGGGTGAGTGACACAGGGAGAATCGTCTTTTTAATCAGAAGGACGCAAGGGAAGGAGGCAAGATTAGAAGAACAGACATCTGGTTGTAGACGTCATGTGGTCCACAGTTTTCCAAGCTGGGGTGTATTTATGTGCCAGGAAGATGATCCATTAAGGAGAATTTTAAAACATTAGTAATGAGATAGAATTCTTACATAAAAAAAAAATCCTTGTATCCTGTATCTAGTCCCAGATAAACAAATTCACTTATGAGTTCTAAATGCTTTTAAATAAATTTTTCAATCACTGAGAAGAATTTTAGAAACTTAAAACCTTAGCACGATGAAATGTTAGTTTACTTGATAGCAATATTGGCGGTGACAGTAGGACGTGTCATATTTTATTTTTAAGAGAAACATGTGAAAATGTTCAAATGTTTCATGTTGAAAAGGACCAAAAAAGTTAGGTGACCTGCAATTTAGGTTCTATGGGAAAAATCTGAATGAAGTAAGGAACATGGATAAGGACATGAAAGGTACTTAGAGCTCAAAATGATGGGTCTTTGTAACAGGAAGTGTGAAACCAGGTAGATACAGTTTGAGGACAAACTGAAAAGTGGCTTCTTTCTCTGAAATCCCACAGCTCCCAGCATTCACCTCGCTTGCCTGCTCTCAGCACCTGCCTTTGGTCAAGTCACAGCGTGTGGGTGAGAGCTGCTTCCGTGTGCAAAGCAAGTACAGGGCATCCTTGCTTTCTGATCAGTGTCCATCATTAAGACATGCCTCCCCCCTACCCCAGTTATCCATGGTCACAAAGTGTTAAACTTGCTGGAATTAAAAGAAAAATAGGAGGAGAGGCGCAACTGTCCAGAGAATGGGAGTGTTGCCTGTCCAGTGTAATGAACAGCCCTCACCCTCCAGTCACCTGCTGTGTATCAGACAAAGAAACACTAACCAGCCTGGCCTAGATTGGGAAGTATACATTTTAAACAAGTCCCAGTCTTTTGTTTGTTTGTTTTAATTTAATGGCAGAGTTACAGAGAAGGAGACAAACATACCGAGAAGCCTTCCACCCTCTCGTTCATTCCCCAAGTGACTGCAACGACAGGGGCTGGACCAGACCAAAGCCAGGAGCTTCTTCCAGCTCTCCTATGTGGGTGCAGCGGCCCAAGCAATTGGACCATCCTCTGCTGCTTTCCCAGGCACATTAACAAGGAGCTGAATGGGAAGCGGAGCAGCCTCAACTCGAGCCAGCACCCATATGAGACACCAGTACTACAGGTGGAAGCTTAATCCATGTCACAATGCTGAGTCCCTCCTGTTGCATTTTTTAAATTTAAAAAGCATGACTTCCATGAGTATACAGGGAGATCCTGATTAGGTACCAAAGAGCTGTGAGCTTCTGTGCTCCCAGAAGGAGGAAACAAACTTGAATTCTCAAATTGGTGTCACCACCCTCAACAGAAGAAGAAAAAAATGTGCTCTGGCAACACTGCCAGAAAAACAACCGAGGAAGGTGACTCCGCCCACACAGCAGAATTGTTCAGGAAGAGCTGTGCTGCACTGACAATATTCCATGCTAATAATTAAGCTAATATGTTTTGGATAGAAGACAAGAATAAATTAAAGGAAAGCTCACAAATGACAGGGTGATGAACAACATGTCTTAAAAGTACCAAACAATCTTTTAATTGAATGTTTAATTTCTTCTTAGCACTGTTTTTCTTCCCCCTGCCCCCCCAGCAGAGTACACACATTGATGCACATGCATGTTATAAATTGAAATTATTCAAAGGTTGTGGCAATTAGGAAGTTACTGCCAGGTAGGAGGATCAGCTCTAGAGACCGAGCTAGAGTAGCAATTAGCAACAGGGAATAGAGAGTGCAGGGGTGGGGTGCATTTTGACCCCAGTGGACACTGGGCAATGTCTGAAGACATTTTTGGCTGTTACATGTTAGGGGATGCTATTGGTATCTTGACGGTAGATGTTTGGGATATTGTCATGCAATCAATAATTCACAGGAGGGCCCCCAGCAATAAAAAATTACCCAGGCCAAAAGGCCAATGGGGCAGAGGTTGAGAACAGCTGGGCCCTGGAGGAGCCAGGATTGGCTGCTGCAGATGCACGGGGCCCAGCACAGACATCTCCAAGAGCTTGTAGCTGCAGTGAGGTCTCCCACCCATCTGTGCCAAACTGTGGGCAGACTAACCTTTCTCTTCCTCCTTATAACTGATTCTTTATCACCCGCTTGGTTTTCATATATTTGTTGCCAAATTGTTCTATTACTCTCAAAGGTAAAATATCCTTTTTCTTTTTAGTGAATGCAAATTATGATCTGGGCAAAGAAATGACACAGAGTTAGTGATAGGGAACAAAAACCCTTAAATATTCTAGAACCACCTCCTCAGTTTCCAGATGGGAAACAGTGCTACAAAGCCTTGGTGACTTAATGGGAGTGGGGGTAGGAGAAATTACATTACTCCTTTCCAAAGAAGTACATTCCTGCTACATGTGGCCATCTTGATACATGCAGGACGCATCTTGTGGATTTCATTTTCATATTTAAAATTGTGAAGTCCTCACTTTGATTACAGTGTATATGCTGGTTTTTTAGGCAAGTCCATGGATTTTATGCACAAAGTAGAGAGAAATATTATTTAAAAATATATACCTGACTTCTAGCTCCTTACAAGATATTTGCCTAAAACGAGAGATTCTGCCTTGATAAAGATGTTTGCTTGCTTGTTCTCTTGGTTAAGATACACAAATACATGAACATGCACACATTTTCAAGCCCCTATGACCTATGAGTGTACTTAAACCAGGACAGTACTGACATTTTTCATAACAGCAAGTAAATATGGCTGCAGATTCTCTAGTGAGGGAAGAACCAAGACCAGCTCCCATGTGGGTTTCTCGAGATGGCATGCCGAGGAGCACCTGCTTCTGTGCCAGCACCCTTTTCCTTGGCACCTTTCATGGATGTGACTGAAAGACCTAGAAACATGACAGTGATGGAACATCCACAGTGAAATGAACTGGATCGAATTCCGCATCTGAGGCTGCTTAGAGCTACTCCTGAAGCTATTTTATGTTTTCAGCTCAGCTTCTTCTTCCTCTTAGTTTACATAATGTGGTTTACTGACAAGCACATTCCTGTTTATGGTAACTACCCACATGTAATGTAGGATTATGCATTTGCCTCGAGAGCTAACGCTTGCGTTGGGCAGATGGTGGGGCTGAGCAACACGTCTCCTGGCCATCAATGACAGCCTTTCCTTTCTCTCAAAGCTCTGGAGTCATGGTTTTGGGAAATAAAACACCATTCTGTCCTGCAGGATAAGCTGGATTTATTCTTAAGTGCTTTTTGGTAGTATGTGGCCTCCACAGTCACAGCAACGCATACATGGTAAGCATCAGACACATGTTCATAGTAAGGATGAATTTCAAAATGAACAGCAAATAATCTTTCCTAAAATCACTTTCTCTTCTTTTTACAAGTGTTTTTTCTTTTTTGTTTTTTTGTAATTTTATATGGTCTTGTTCACATTCCTTTCCTCACTGCCTTCCACTCCCTTTTCAAAGATCAACACGGACACTTTGTCTTCCAGAAATTCAGCAAAATGATGAACACAAGTGGAAGGGGGGGGCCCTGAGACACACGCTCCAGGCCTTTCCGAATCCTTGGGGTGGGCGAGTCTACAAGGAAGGGGATATTCGAGACATGAAGGCTTCAGTACTGTTGAGACAGGAATACTTCACATGAGTTATCATGACAACACTGGAAGAATCTGGATCGTTACCCAGAATGCTGCTGGCATGTTGAAAACAAATAAAGGAAGATACTCGCCAAGAAAACTATCGTGTGTATCCAGCATATTGAGTACTCTGGGAGCCCACAGCTACCTGAAATGAGCAAAGGAAAAGCAAGAGGAAAAAGAAGGAAGCCAGAGGAACAGGCACCCGGATTCACCCGAAGGAATGGCCTGCCCCACCTAGACAAGCCCGCAGTGTCAGAGCCAACAGAGAAGACCTAGAGCGGCTGGAACCTAAGGTGGATGAAGTATAAGCAAAACAAAGGACCCTGGACTGGACCAAAACAAGTGTGATTTCTGCTTCCATCACCTTATCACAAGCACTCATCAAAGGCATTTCATGATCTCCCTATCAGAGACTTTTCTATGAAGTCTTGATTTTACCTGACTTTCCTCTTCTCAGCATGACATTTACTCTAGCCTTTAATTATTTTTTTTAAGTATTTTTTTAAATGGTGTTTGAAGACAAGAACCAGGCAAGCATGATTGATTGAATCATAATTTGATATGAATTTTGGAAACTAAATCAAAGAAAGTGTTCTACCAACTATGACTAGTACACTGCATTTTGTTCCACTTATCCTCCAGATCCAGGTAATATTTTACAAAGCACTTTTCTTCAGAGCCAAAGTACTAAGGGAATGACTTACCTGAGACAATTTTGTGGTAGTGGCAGGCAGAAGCGGGCGGCTAAACTTCTTCTGAGAGCCAATGGCTGCTGGAAATGGGGGTGCAGAAAATACAGCTGCCACACAATTAATTTTGCTGATCCACCCCTGCATTTCCTCCGGACTCCTACGAGAAACAGGTACATTTACATCAGTGAAATCTGTGTCTAAGCGCACCGCACGCTGCCCACTTCTCACTGCCGATGCGAAACGGTACGTAACATTATTCTCGGTACAACTAATCCCTGACAAAGACTTCACGGGGGATTGGAATTCTGCAGAGTCACTGCCATGGAAGTCCATTTTCTGCTGAGTGACAGACAAAATGCACATATTGCATGATTCCATGTATAGAAAGTATTCAGAAAAGACAATACTCTGGAAACAGTAAGTAGGTTGGTGATGTGTCTGGGGCCGGGAGGGAAAGTGAACGTTGACTGTGAGATGGGCACAGTCCATATCTGGCGTAATGGAAGTCCCAGAAAGGGCTGTGATGATGGCTGAGCTATTCTTAACTGAAACTGATATCTCAAACTCATAAAGGTAATCTTTTATAAGTATTGAGATAAGTAGACCTTCATAAGATTGTCAAAAAATACACCTCAGGAGCTTTCATTGTGGCACAGCATGTTAAGTTTTTGCCTGTGATGCTGACATCCCATTTGAGTGCTGGTTTGAGATCTAGATGCCTCATTTTGATAATCCACCTCGCTCCCTGTTAATGGCCCAAGTGCCTGGGACCCAGCACGCAATGTGGGAGACCCAGAAGCAGCAGTAGACCCCTCGGTTATGGCTTTGGGTTCACCGAGCCCCAGCTATTGTGTCCACTGGGAGGGTGAACCAGCAGATGCAAGGCATCCTTTCAGTATTTCTTTCAAAAACAAAGAAACTGAAGAACCCTCGGAACAGGTACACAATGGGACTCTGGGTTGATATGAGGTGGCGGGTCCTCATCCCTGGGTACTGGCACGTTTGGAAAGTCATGAGTGGTTTTCCCCTTTGTCTCTCGCCTTTGCCCAGAAACAACAAGAAGAAATAGCAAAATTCAAACCATGAGTTCACCCAGTTTTCCCTAAACCTGAATCCTTCCCACCCTGATCAACCATGTAATCATTATAAAACAGTATCAGCCAATCTCGATTCTTCATCAGCTCCTCTGGGAGAAGCCCCAGCAGCCACCCAGCTGCACCACAGGCCCCTCTCATCTCAGCTCTCCAGTTCTGTTATTTCAATTCATTGATTTCCAAAGCAATTGGAATTTCTCAGCCATTAAGCCTTGTATTTCAGATTTAAAAATAAAATATTGGTGGGGGCAGGATGGATCTGAAGGATGCTGTACACTCAACACTGAATTACACATCCATGTCTGGGTCTCCATGGGGCGTCCATTGTCATATTTCTACAATCGGAACCACATGAGCTTCTTTCCTTGTAACTTCCTCCTCACGGATGTGAGCGAGTGCACACGTTCCCAGCCCAGTGTCTATGAATGAGCAGGCCACCGCTCTTGTTCTCAGTTGTCTGAATTCGGGTTGTTATGACCCACAAGCTCAGACATCAGTTCACCATCACCTGTGTGTCGGCTGGGGCCAGCTGTGGGGCCTGATTTTGAAGGCAGCTCAAGTCATGAATCACTACCATTGTCTGCTACAGACACAGATGGTACAATTCCTATCCAAAAGTCTTGGTTCTGAAAATCCCGTTTCTCACTTTCCAAATGCAGAATTCTGCATACGCAATATTTGGCTTTGACCGTTATTCAAATGGCAGTCTATCCCATTTCCTTGCTTGGTATAATCGTGTTTCTCATCTGTTACCATCACAGACTGAGCTTGGAAGGCAATGGAATGAGAGCATGAGATAGAAATTTACATGTCTTGTACAGTTTTCCTGTGCCAGCCACTGTGTGTACTATTTAATCTTCACCAGAGGCCTGTGGGCTACACGCTACTGCTCACCAGCCACGCTACTGCTCACCAGCCACCCGCCACCAAGGCTCAAAGTGCAAAAAGACGAGGCTATGGTGACTGGAATCTAGGCCCACTTCACTCAGGTTGCAACAGAACCTTTCTATGGATGAAGAAGAGCACAGTGTTTGGGCAATGGCAAGGAGTTGACTGAAGTCGCACAGCTCCTCTGCAGCAGGAAGCAGTGGGACTCAGGCTTTCCCATCTTTTATCTAGTCTTCTGAGCTGCCCGTATCTCTAACCAGCTTGTGACTTGACTCTGATTCAAAAACTGTCCCGTGTAGAGAGCCTGATTCGTAGTGCAGCAAAGGGGAACCGGCCCCCGCCACACACACACACCAACACACACATACTCCAACGCAACGTACTGGGTTTGAAAAAGCAAGACCCTCCAGTCAGCGGTTTTAAGCTTAAACACATTGGGCTTCTTCTCATAGTCTGTGGCCTTGGACGCCAGTGCATGGTGCACACTGACAGCGTTTTTCAAGTCCTCCTCAGACAGGGCCTTCTCTGGCTTATATTCATCCTGTGGAGGGACACAGAGAAGACAAGGGGTAAGCCAAATGACAGTATGATCAGAGGTAGGTCAGTTCAAACCAGGAAACTCAGACATAATCCAGGTTTCCCATGTGGTAGCAGGTGGGCCATTATCCACTGTTGGGTTCCAGGGGACACACTATAACGGGAAGCTGACATGAGAAGCAGAGCCAGGAACCGGAACCAGACCCAGGCACTCCTCTATGGGATATGGGCATGCCAAGTGGCACTGTCTCCACTGTACCAAACACCCACTTGTGAACTTGAGTTTTCATTCTTTGAGTCTCTTTATTGAGATTTAATTGTGTGTGTTTTTAAATGAAGACATAATACCTCTTCTAGATATGCATTTATTTCACCTAATTAAAAATATTTTGTATTTCATTTGATTTTAATGTGTGTTCACTGTGGAATATTTGGTATGCTCAGAAAAAGAAAAATTAGTCATCTTGTTTACCTGCTTTAAAAAATATTATTTTTTTCATTTTGATGTTTCTTTGCTCATCCCTAATCTCATGTATCTTTCACTTTCTCCAACAGGTACTGAATTGGATACAGAACTCATGGCAACAATCCTTCTCATTGGTTTCATGTAATTCTACCATCTTCTGGCCTCTGGTTTAAGGGAAGTCCAGCTGGAGTCTTTTTTCCTCGTCTCCTGTTGTGTCAATCTCATGGGAGTTTCTCATTATCTTCACAATTTAAGAAACTCTGCCAGAATACGCCTTAATCTTCTCATCTACTCATTCTGAAAATAAAAATCCTGCCCAGAATCTTCCTTAATATGTCCGTTCTCTGGGCAGCTAATGGCTGTCAGAGGTGATGAACCTGGTGCTGCAGGGTGGTACTGTCACACACTTAAGGTCTTCAGCTTTGGACAAATCAAGCGCCAGACCACAGGTCTTATACAAATCTATAATAATCACTGGTTTGCATTATGCCTGATAGCTACAACTGGATAGACGCTTTTGATGAAACTATCTATGTTTAAATGATTAGCTTTGATTCTCAGTATCTCTGTTCCCTCAGCTGAGAAGTGGTGACAAGACTTGGCCTCATAGAGTCATAGACTTCAGAAAAACAAGATAATTTTTTAAATCTCTCAATAATGTCCACAGCTGATAAATTCTTAATGATGCCTTGCTTGTTTGCGTAGAGCCTGATCTTGTTTTCTACAAGATTAAAATTCTAAATAGCAAATATTCTGTCCACATATTCTAAAAATACATACATTTTATGACTTGCCTCATCTTGATTCCTCCGGGGCCACTGGAATCCTGCTTTTTTTCCAATCAATGTCTGTCAACCTTTTGGATGATGCTGCTTCATTGCTTGATACCTTTGTTCTGCATTTGAAGCCATTCTCTACCATCTCACTTCTTCTCTCCAGCATATAATTAACCTCAGTGTCTGTCAGCATCGTAAGGCAACGGTTCCCCATGAACACTGCTTTCTCCTCCAGTCCCTCTTTTTCTTTTCTTTCACATCTGATGAGCTAACAGTCTTTGGTAACTGTATTCTTATATTCATTTCCATTTCTTCTTGGACCCACTGCAGTCTGAAGTCTGAATCTATACTTCGATGAAACTGCTCTATCAAAGCTCAGCAAAATACAATGGCTTCTGATTCTCATCTTACGGCACCTAAAGAAGTCTCTACTCATCCTGAAATTTTCCCTTAGCTTCCTGCGGCCCTTGTGACTTCTCTCCTACCACCCTGTCTTCCTCTTCTTCAGTCTGTACAGGTCTGTCGGGTCACTGGCCTGCTTCCTTTCTCAGTCAGTGTGGGGCTGGTAACCTCTCTCATAGTTTAATTTCACCACCCCCACCCCTCCTGGCTATGGTGAAGTTTAACTAGAGGTGAATAAGAAACACAGAAAAAAATTAGTTGCTGCTGGTATTGAATAACTTAGACTTCACACCTGGAGCCACTACACTGTTGCAATGTATTCTCTCTAATATTTTTATGAACAGTCAAACTTAAAGGACGACATTCTTATCATAGCGTAAAGATGCAAAAAAAAAAAAAAAGTTAAAAGGCATTATTGCTTATAGTCCTGAGCAAAAGCCAACACAATTGCCACAGTGGGGGAACAGTAATATGGCCTTCAGAGAACTCTGCTCCAGGGTGGTCTCCTGAACTCTTAAACTACCTAGCCAGTTGCCCTCGAGTGGGAAGCAAAGGACAGAACTGGAAGATAATCTTTAGCCTGCATGAGAGAGACCCTAAGACTTTTAAGCCTAACCAGCTTCTACATCACTGCTGATATTACTATCACTTTCATTTTTTTTTTAAAAAAAGGCCAAGCAAGAACTTTAAAACATGTTCAACATTTCAAATTCCTACTAGAAAATGAAGCTTCACATTCAGAAAAAGAAAAACCCAGGGTTGACAACTGGGTTAAACAAAAAAAACCACTTTATACTATGGGGTTCATTCTGACATCTTTCTTTTTCGTTACTTCAATTAGAGGGTGGTATTTTAAATGACAGAATTAAAGAGGGAAAAAATTAAGGAATCAATTACTGTAATCAAAGCCATTTCAAGCCCGCGAGTGTTTGCTGTACAAACTAAATGTGAAGCAGAGAACAAGATAAATCCAATCAAGACGTTTCGTGTAAGAGAAAGTGCTCTGTGACATCAATTACTATCCATTTTCTCAAACGAATGAAAGGTGAAAATGATGCTGAAAAAACATGTTATTCTCCCCCATGTTCCTTTTAGTCTACTTCTTTTTAGCTGGTATGATTCAGGAAACAACTCTGACCCTGTCCTAAGCACCAAGAACGTGATATCGTGGTACTGTGCATTTAATTTCACTTTAAGCATAGAATGGAAGGCTTTATCTTTCCTAAGAAGTTTGCCAATTAGACCTCCTGCGAAGCTGAATCCTAAAGCAAAAATCACCTACACATGCACGACTGGCATGAGACTGGGAAATCTGTACTCAGGTGAAAAACATTCCAATTGGAACGTGACCAATGTTCAACATCAGTTAAAAACAGACTCAAAGTGATATTTACCTCACGTCTAATCAAGTAGATACAACTGCTACATGCGACATGCAATTAAAATAACTCAAAGTTCAAATGGTCTTGATTTATAGAATACTGGAGATAAAACCGTGAACATATTGTTTCTTGGAGTTACAATAATAAAATGCCAACAATTAAAAGCATTTTTCACATTTGATAATAATTTTTTTATTTTAAGTATCTCTAATAGTTTGTAAAAACTATCTCTTTACATACACATATTTAACACAGAAAGTTTTAAGTATCCACAAATCTGAAACATAGGAATCACAGCAAGCCAAATGAAAACCCATTTAATGCATTATTCAACTAAGCATATATTTGAAAAATCACTTACAGAATTTTAAAGCTAAAAGGAGACTGGAGCATTATTTAATTTCTTCATGCTACATAAAGTCAGAAAAACATGCAACTATTCAAAAGCACAATTAAGAGAATTGGCAAAGGCAAAAGGACTGGGTTACACTGATCTGCTCAATGACGTGTGTTTAGTTCCTGTCTTTGAGGCTACAGTGATCCAGGGGGCCTGGACTGGCAACAGCTCTGCTTGTGGTCAGCCTTGAGAGTCCCTTTCAGACATGGGAGGAATTGCGATACTTTCTCCAAAAGGCCTCAGACTTTAGTAAGGCACAGGGAAAACACCAGAATAAATCTGACAAGTGGACTGAGAAATTAGCATAGACCTTTTCGATTATTATGCAGTGGCATGGGAACGGGGTTGGACAGCTATCGAGGACACCTGCAAGGAGCAAGCATCACAGCCTGATGAGGCAGTCACAACCTGTAATCCCAGCATCCCATGCACATCCTGGATGCTCCACTTCCAACCCGGCTTCCTGCTAATGCTCTGGCCCAAGCATTGGGGCCTCCGTATCCACATGAGAGAACTTCAAGGAGGAGTTTAGGCTCCTGAGTACAGCTTGGATCAACTCCATCTGTTACTGCCATTTGGGGAGCAAACAAGTGGATGAAGGACTGACATCTCTCTTTCTCTAACTGATTTTCAAGTAAGCAAGTAAGTAAGCAAACATTCATAGAACAACAACAGAAAAGGACCCCTGAAAAAAAGAATATGGGATTCCAGGACTCAGTACCTGAATGTATCTTAAAGGATTTTTAATTTGTTTTGTTTTGCTTTGATTTTTGAACAGGAAAAAAAAAAATCTTCACATCTGCTCTACCACATTTCTCCCATTCTTTTTTGTAATTCAAAGATCAAGGCTGTCACTGGTAAGAGGCTGTTTCTGCTTTCTTCTCAGCTCAGGGCTTCATCAACATTCTGATAAAGGCCACGGCTGTGTCGCTGTTGGTGACAACTCTGCTGATGTCTGTCCGTCACCCAGCTACTCCCTTAGCTCTGAGTCTGAGGGTCACAGGAGTGTCTGATTGCTTCCGTCTCCGATGATTGATGTGGGCGTAGGATTTGTTGAAGAAAAGGATGGGGAAGAGAAGAGGGAAGAAAAAAGGAAAGAAACGAAGGAAAGGGAAGCAAGCAGGAAGGGAAAGTAGCCGGGGAAAGTGCTTCCTGAGTCCAGAGTGGCACACAGGAACAGGTCTGAGACCAGGACCTACAGCACGCTTCAATGGCTGCAAACCGGCCACACACCACTGCACCAAATCCTTGCGATTCAGTTTGCTAGGCATGTAAACTTCAGCCATGTTTTAAAAAAAAAGTTCTCCAGCACATAGCCTCAACGTCTGAAATCCCAGAATCCAGGTGAATTTTGCACCAGAATGTCTCTTTATGAACACAGTTTTACATGCTCATATCCTAAACGTCCATCATGTTCAGTAGCTGGCCGGGGCCATTTATCTAAATTGTGTCTGCAGGAAAAAACGTTGGCCATTAGCCTGAAGGCTTCAAAGCCTATTTAACATCTCTCTTATTTTTAGATGGCCGATTTTGAATTATGAATTAATAATTCAATTGCAAAGCAGAGAGAGACAGAGAGAT